TCTCTTTATGTTCTTCAAAAAAACCTTCCCTTGAGAAAATATTCCAAAACATTATCCCCCTCTAATGTAGAATAAAACAATCTTCTCTTTTCACAATAAAGAACTGTAATAGAAACAGTCTTTAGTAATAGTCTTCAAAATAATATTCTTCAAAGAACTTCTCTTTTCAGTAAACTCTTTTACGATGAGATCTTCATATTCAGCCCCCCTCAACATTGTAGCACAAAGTAATCAACAGTCGTTGCATTCACACTCCCTGAGTCTTTTGCAAATTCTCGATCTTTAGAATTGATTATTTCATTCATTATATAATACCGCCCCTTATGATGAAATGAGAAACATTTGCATCATACACCAAAATGAATGAATCTTCAATGTATGCCGTCAATTCATAAAATTGTAAGCAAATCTTTTCAAATCCACTTGTATAATCTTTTCATATTTCGAAGATGGAAAATAACCAATTTCAACTTATGAAATTGTTAACAATTTTATAAAAGATTGGCCTGTGAATATAATAAATATATTCAGTACAACGAATATACTTCATATATGAGACTTTTTAAGGTTCATCTCACCAGGACTTCTATCCAATCATCGATAGCTTATAAAAAGCATATCTAAGAATGTTATTGCAAAATAACAAATATATTGCAAAATTTGTGTAGTGTAGAAAAATAAAGCAATTAATGCTTCTAATTAGGCTCAAAAAGATAAACAGTGTGGACTACACTAATTTATCAAACTCAATATGTGATAAAAAAGACTTGAAGGGGGGGGGGGGACACATATCCTTCTTTTTCAATATCGATTTTCTCCGAATGAGAAATTGAGAGAATATAAGCTGCGTGCCCCAAGTGTTATTGAAACACTTATCTTTTAAAAGATAAATGAGTAGTTGTTGGGGTTGTGACAAGAATTGGCCTGGCTTTGCCTTTTTCAATATTAGTCTCGAAAGAATTGAGAACTAATAGATTTCGTGGTTTGCCCGGATTATAAAAGTTAGAACATGATTCTTTTAATCTTTTAATCCTGACACAATTCTCATCAATTCTTTTAGCTCACAACAACTACCCCTCTCTTTTCATTTTAAGCTCTACACACAAACCCATTTTATGTTTAAGCTCACTCAGATATGGATGTCCTCATGGGTAGGTTTGTAGGTTCTGACATTCCATTGAGGTATTTCTGTGAACCACTCTGTCCCTCTTAAATATAACAGTTTAGGCTCAATTGATCACAAACAGTTGATCAAAATATTATTTCAATGATGTTCAAATGATCTGATAAAATTGATCAAGAAAAATGTAGCTTTTAAGCACAGTCAACAAGAAGTGATATTCAATTCAGATTATTCAGAATATGTGGAAGAAATGAATGAAGATCTGTAAGTACAAGTTTATAGATTCAGATAATCAAAGAATGATGAATTCTATATCAATCAAAGTAAAAAAAAGTATGAAAACAACTTTGAATACAAACGAGTGTATTATCACCGAAAATGATTTTCATTTAAGAGACGTGTTGATCCTCTCTCTCAGTGATTTGATGATAATCCCTTTTTCCTTTCGATGTATTTTAGTTTCTGTATTTTCAGTTCCAGCGATCTTTACACTGAGTATGTTCAGTGATCGCTGAAGAACTCGCTTTGTAATTCATTCAGAGACAACAATACTTCAAGAAAACAACACTCACACCAAAGATCCTTCAGCAAACATC